TTAAGGCCAGTAACTTTTCAACAACTGTTTATTAACTAACAGTAATTTCTTAAACACTAAACAGAACAGTATTGGTCTTTTATTTTTAATACTTTCAATCTTCTAGCCTTGAACATCAGTTGTGCTTTCTGTTTTTCATGGAACTTCAGCATACAGTGCACCTCGCCACGGTGTCATCATTCCTCACCATGGCCGGTTCTAGACAGAGGCCAACGGGGGTCAGTGCCCCTGTAGAACATGTCCTGGCCCCTGTTATGGACTCTGTACTGAAGACATAATACTTAAAAGAAATTCAAATAATGATCTGCTATGGAACAGACATGGTTACTGATGGGTCCTTTGGATCTACTTCATTCTTTTTCATTACAAATTCTGTTTAATTAATTATTCAAAAACAATAAGGTGATAGCTTCAGTGGGATTGAGATAGGATCCCAGTTTTCATCGGCTAAATTTTTTTTTCCACAACAAATAAAAAAAATGCTCTGATTTTTTTCAGATGAATTTAAAAGTTTTTCTTGAGTTCTAATTTAAAGTTTATAGAAAACGGTAGTTTTAACTTAAATTAAATAAAAAAATATGTAAAATTCCTCAATCATAAATGTATATTGACTTTATTGAACCTAATTGAAAAGAAATTTCCATTCATGCAGCTCTCTTAATATATATGAATGCCTTGAGACGTAGATATACTCAAGTATATTCTGCTGTAAAATTATTCCTATATTTTTGTTTTTTATTCAAGGATTGAACCTCTGCCATTTCCCAGGATGCACCACTTTGATTGGTAACTAGGTGACTGTCAGAGAGTAACCCAGAGAAACTTATCGGACTGATCTAATCAGCTCTCTGATCAACCAGTCGTCTGGAACGCTGGTTGAACAGAGCATCGCTTTGGACAGATACGCTGCACCAGCAACCTCCTCCCTACACCCCGCTCTTGTTGTCTGAGCAGTCGCAGTAGTTCTAATCCGCACATGATGCACAAATTATTGTACTGCCTGTCCGCTCTCACTCGCATTAAAAAACACCACCTTCCATAGTCTAAAATCCGGGATAATTTATCCGACTTGCCAGCATCCGTGAACAATTATCTATATCAGGGAGACTCCCGGAACTTCCGGGAGATTTGTGATGTCTGTTATACCCAACTCTCCCCCTACACACACATTTGATTACCTTTGTTCTGTTCTTCATCATCAACAGTGTATTCAAAAGTTTGTTATCCAATTGAAACATAAAAAAAGTGGTAGCTTATTTTCTTGTGCTATAAAGATGTAAAAGAAAGGAAATTATAACACATTTTGTATCATTGTCTGTTGTCTGTGAACTGAATGTTGTTGGGTGGCACCAAGGATGCAGAACTTTATGTGGTTCTGTTTGTAAATACAAACACCAGATAAAGTCCTTAAGTTATTGCCTGAGTAGTACCCATTTAGCCATACAGCATGGCAGAGCAGGGTCATTCTTTGCTTTGCTGGAAGAAGAGGATAAAAATTGGAAGGGCTTCATGCCTTTTGTGTGTGTTGTATGTTTAACTTTCCAAATTTTCATTTTAATAATTTTTAAGAAAATATTCTAATTAATTCAGACAGTCTGTTTTTTTTTTTTTTTTATTGCGATAGATTCTGTTTTGCAAGCATCAGCCAGTCGGTTATAGGTTTATCAACCGCCAGTGGTGATGAGAATGGCTTATCCTGTTCAATTTGTAATAGAAGATTCCCCAACTACTTTCAAATAATTTGCTTGGCAGGATTTTGGGTTTCTGGTTGAAACCAGAATTGGTAAGAGAGTGACAGACCAGAGAAGGACATTATGTAAGCTCTGCAAGAAAATAATACTCTACACAATAGCACAAAGATACATTCAAAACCACTGTGCTTAAATCAGCACCACCTGTGAAGCCACTTCCGAAAGGACAAATGCCATTACACTTTGGGTTCCACACTCATGCTAGAGCTGCAATAATGAGAAGAGACACAGGGGTTTTATTGCAATCTTTAAGAGGCCCTTTGCTGTTATGAAAAATGGGGGATTTAGGAGACTTTTTCAGGCATTGGAACTCTAGTATAGCATTCCTTCACATCAACGGCGTAACAACACAACAATAGGCCCATAAGCAACATTATCTGGGTGGGCCCCATATGAAGTACAACATGTGATAAAGGTTCAGGATACGTCGACAGTTCCATATATCGACCAAGAAGATACAATTATGACCCCCCCCTGGATGTCCAGGGGTAGCTAAAGCTACATCACAATTGGGCGTAGCAGTGGAGCAGGTATAAGCATATGACCTATGTAGGGAGGCCTAGTCCTGGAGTTAGCTGTCACAGGTCCAAGTCCCAGCCTAGTAACCTTTCATGCATGTCCCGCCATTTTCTCCAGTTCTTTTTTCCTGTCTGCCTATCAAACATAAAAAAATATTGAGACTTGAACCTAAAAAATTAATCTAAAAAAAAAAAAGAAGAATAAAACCTACATCAGAATCACAGCACTCATGATCAACAGCAAATGGGAAGTGGCATAGTTTGTACTGCAGACTCATCCGATTTTTGAGTATTACAGAGGGAAAAGCATTGCTGAGTTTTGCAAGAAGAAATCGCTGAATAGGAGCTTGAGAGCTCAAACCATGGCATTGCTATTGTGAATGATATTTCCTTAATATGGAGGCAGCTGTGCGTAAGGCAGGGTTGTACTGCAAGAATGTTTTGAAAATGAGGTAAAAGTTCTTAAAATAAAATAATTGTATTTACCCTTAATTTGAGTAGTTAAATAAGAAGATTTGCCAATGGAATGAGCATTTCTACCCTTAAAATAAGATAATTAGATATTATGGTCTTAAAATAAGAGACTGCTGTTGTTTTTTACTCATTTCAAATGTAAATTGTCTTGTTCCATTGGCAAAGTGCCTCACTTATCTGCACTTAATGCACTTATTTTAAGAAAAAAAGGACTTACTTACTGTAGGTTTACACTTTTTTAGCAGTGAGGTCCAACATATAAAGTGCTCTGCCCACACTATCAATGTATCTGTTTGGGTGAGTTCAACAGCTACTGCAGTGTTAAAGTCAACAGTTACCACCATAGATGTTGAACATTGTTGCTGACGTCAGATGGTCCAGCACCCTGGACATGCTCAGGGGCAGATTTAGAAAAATTCGGGCCCTAGGTAAAGACAGGCATGGGGCCCTCTAAACTGAGAAGACAACACATAAAACTGATCCCTTATACAGATACAGAAATTTTAATAGAATAGACATATATTATTGGTTTTACGTTTTGTCCCTCTCTTCTTTTCCCCTTTCTTGTTGTTTTTCTCTCTATTTTTTGTACTCAGCTGACTTTTTATGCTGATCAATGAATGCTAGCGCGCCGGCTACCATTCGTTCATCCTGTCCGGTAAACTGCTGCTAGTTTTACTCACATGCCTGGAAGATGTCTGATGCTGCTAACACAGAAGATCTCGCTCTCCAAATAGACTTCAATGATTCAGATTAGCTAGAATGAATAGAAGGGGTAGAGCGTAGCCGCCTGTGGCCCGGGCTGCCTGTCACAACTCCATTCTGGCGCGTGGATGATGTCATACACACTCCGCTTTGTGTTTTAAAAAAATATAAATATAAAAATGTCCGCAGATGTCTGGGGACAGTGATTGGCCTACATGTTCTGAATGCTGGCGTACCATAAAGAATAAATTATGAACAGTTTAGTTTGTGCTTCAAGTCGCTGCCCATAGGAAGACGCTACTTGTCTATGGTCTAACTGAATATCTTCAGAAAGGCTCCAAATGACACAAAACTCATATGGATGAGTAGAACATGATGTAATAATGTAAAATCAGGGGCCCAATATAAAAAAAACTGGCATTCTCCTTTAATATTGTGTGTTCTGATGGCATTTTAGCAAAAAGATAAAAAAAAAAAAACATAATTAATGTGCACAAATAAGAAATAGTTGTTTTAACCATACATATAAGCAGAGTTTTATGTGGCCCCCAGGACATTGGTTAATCCCCCCTGGACATGCTGAATCATTACCTGGAGCAAGCTTCAATAACAGTAGCTCTCAGAAAGGTTCTAACTATTGATACTATGGAAAGCTGGAGAGATGCACGGATGAACAGAGCATTATACCACAGGAAAGAGGATTCCACCACTGTAGTCGACATAAAATATATTTTTTTCTCAATATTTTTGTCAGATGCAGTAGTGATGCTTTTCAAGGCTTACCCAAGGTTTCAGACACTGCTGTTTCCTTACCACAGCTGGCATGATGATATCTTTTTTAGGATAAACAAGAAGGTGTGAAGCTGCTGCAAAATTTCTTTTCGTTTGTTTCACAATAAAAAAAGCACTTTGTGATTATATGACTTTTTTTTTTCTAACCTCATCATTGTCCAAGAGAAATGTATTTAATAAATTAACAGTGTGTGTATTTTTTGCTGTTTAAAGACCACAGATGTGGAGGATGTGAAATGAGAAGCAATGGACGGCCCTCAAAGGAAAAGTCTGGTCATCAACGAATAATCAGTGGATCACTATCTATACCTAAAACGTTTGTGTTGATTTAATGAATTTAGCTTTAATCAATGATGACATCACATTGTGGTAAGCCTAGCGCAATTCTTCCTGCTTCACAAGCAAAATCAATGGGAACTACCAGACACATCTGCAATCAACAGTTCCATAAAAGTTTTAAAAACAATCCACTTGGTTTCCAAGGTTAGAAGACATTTTGTGTTACTAACAGTGTTACCTTTTTTAGTAAAGAGTAACTCAACTATTTACTTTGACTGTAACTATAACGCAGTTACCATTGCCGACACCCCATTACTGCGACTCAGGTCTCACAATGAACCTTTTTTTCACGGGCAGGTGCACTATATCTGAGCTGATTACAACCCTTCTTAAGGAGCTGGAACCAGGAGGAGGGTGTCAGTTTGTTAATGCCTCTGCGTTGGTACAGACCAAATCAAAATCTTGTTCTTGTGACTCAAACCGTAGCCTAAACTCAGCTCTGTAACCTTTCTTACAGAACCTCTGTCTCTGACCCTGAGACCCAGCCTGGAACCACAGACCTTGGATCCCCGTTTTAATACAACCTGGAACCCAAGAGGGTTCTCGGGCTTATCCACCGCTCAGCCCTCCTACCTGCGCTCACCTGCCTGTCCACCCTCGAACCATCAACCAGGGAGAGAGTACTGGTCAGCACTCGGACCACTGGAGACACCTCAAGATCAGACCACAGCCTCTCTACAGTGAGTGTCAGCCCAGCATTATCCTCCTGCAACTGTTTCCATACATTCACCAGACTCCTCATCTTCTCAGCAAAAGCCCAGAAGAACCTGACCAGACCAGATCATACTGCTTCCTGTTCATACCCACTATCTTGTTTTCAATAAACCTTTTAACCTACTACCTGCCTCTGTAGGTGCTCTTGTTCAGAGTCACCTTCAATTATAACAAAAAATTACAATATTCCACATATGAAAAAAGGAAATTCATGAAACCTCTTTGCTATTGAATTTAAAGGACATGACAGGTCCTGCTCCAAAATAATACCAATATTTTTTAACTTTATTATCTGAAATCAGTTTAATCCCATCCAGATGAAGTGACTGACTAATCAGTGTCATGTTGGGTTCAAGGCGTCTAACCCACATGCAGAAAACACTCTTGAAACAGGGAAAAAGTTTAAGTGATTTATTTACAATATTAACAAATGAATGATGCACAGGTTCTGGGTTCTTCAGACTGGTCTCGGGAGGAACACCACTGAGGAGGACAGAGCAGTTATCCAGGAAATTTGCAGTTTACAGATGACAGAGTTAAATACCTGCTCAGAGAGGATTCTGATCAGCAGGGGGGGAACCTTGAGGGTCCAGAGGCTAGTCGGCAGGCAGAGGGTTGAGGGCAGAGGCAGAGACTGAAACGGAGTGCAAGCAGGCAGATTCCAGACAGAGATTTCTATCTCCAGGATTTCAGGTTTCCAGAAAAGTCAGGATCTGTGAGGCAGAGAGAAACAGGATCAGACAGGTTCACAAAATCAGGGTTTCAGATCAGGCAGGCTGGCTCAGGTCTTGCTAACCATTACTGGCAAACACTCTGGCAGGCAAGTGTCAGCCTCCTCCTCCTTAAATAGGTCTCCTGATGAGCAGACAGGAAACAGGTGTGTAGGAGTAAGCTCATGCCCTCAGGAGGAAGATCTCAGGCGCCCTCTGGTGGAGAAGTGAACAAGCTTCCAGATCCCAACAATCAGCTTCTTTTTCAGAGACTCTGGTCCAAAGACTATAAATTCAGTTTTGTCTGCATTCAGAAGGAGAAAGTTAAGAGTCATCCAGGTTTTTATGCCTTCAGACATGCCTGTAATCTATGTAAGGGGTTAGCTTCATCTGGATTATATTCAGATATAGCTGGGTATCATCAGCATAACAGTGGAAATTAATCCCATGCTGTCTAATAACTCTACCGATTGGGAGCATGTATAAAGTAAAGAGAATTGGTCCTAGAACTGATCCCTGTGGTAGTCCACAGGTAAGCCTTGAGCATGAGGAAGATTTGTCATTAACGTGAACAAACTGAAATCGATCAGATAGATTAGATTTAAAATAGTCTACTCAATTCAATTCAGTTTTTTTCTATAGCGCCAATTCACAACACAAGTCATCTCAAGGCACTTTAACCAGATCATCCAGTCAAATTGATTCAAAGTTTTCTATCTAAGGAAAACCAGTTGATTGCATCGTTTCATTGACTCAAATACAATCCCTCACACTAAGCATGCTTGTAGCGACAGTGGAGAGGAACTGGATCTAACATACAAGCTGAAGGCTTAATGAGACAAATAAAGAATGTGTTGATTGTACCGTAGTTCTCTATCACAGAATCATATCATTATTTATTGTTGCTGAATAGAGCTGGGAAATTTCTTATTAAAAAAAGCAATTCAAACCCTTAGTAAACAAAATAGATATTCCTGTTTTTAGCCTACACAGTGTAAACTTATTCCTATTTAAGAATTGATTTAATTTTATAATTTATGACAAAGTTCTCTCAAAAATCACTTAACTTAAACCATGGAACATTTTTATGCTATGATCTTAAATTTTGGACCCTTTGTTTCAGATAAAATTATTAGCATTTTTTGCATTCTCAAGTTTGCTTAGTTTTGTTCTCTGTTGTCTTGATTTAGATTAGTTTTGTATTGTTTGTTTTGCTCTTCCTGGTTATATCTTTTCTTCATAATTTGTGGTATTATTTATTCCTTGGTCTAATTTTAGTTCTTCTTTCTCTTATCTTTAGCTTACGTTTTCCATGGCTTCAGTTAATTCCAGGCCCTTCTCTTATTCTCTAGTTTTCCACTTGGTCATTCCTTATTTTGTATTCAAAAACTTTATTTCCCTTTAGTCTTATTCAAGTTCTTTTCTAGCCACTTTTAGATACTGTCATTTCTCCCTGGTTATTTTTTGTAGCCTCCTAGTTTCCTTTCCTTTCCCCATAGCTCCTTTTATTTATTTCTGTCTACAACTGCTTCCTATTAGCTACTTAGACCTTCCATTGTTTCTGTCTCCAACATATACACCTCCTGTTCATTTATTCATTGCTGGATACTCGTCATTCTTTAGGTTTATTCTTCCCAAGTGTTTTCTAGTGTTTTGGTTCTTAAGTTTTTTTTTCAATCAGTAATGTACTTTTTCTTCTTCATTATTACATTTAGCAAGTAATCATCTCTACATCTCTTACTCAGCATTTGGGTCAACTACAACATCCACCAATCCTGATATGTTCATATGTTTTCTTCTTACTTTTTGTGGATAAAAAAGAAATCTGAAATTTGTATGGCTTTCTTAATAAACTTTAAAATCTCCAATCAAATTACCTCATGGGTATGGAATACTAGAAACCACCAGCCAGTAGTCTTTTGGAGGTGTAACAGAGAGCTGACCACTCTGACCCTTTGCAGTGTTATTCCTCATGTCTTTCAGGTGAATAACAAATAAAATTATATCCTGGCTTCCCTGGAGGGTTATCTCCAGGGAAGCTTGCAGAGTAGGAGGCTAAAATAAGGAGGACCATCTGTATCTACTCATCCTACTTCTAGATGCATTCATAAATGAATAACCATAACTGAAGGCATTCTGCTTTCACTTATAGTTTTCTGTCTGATGTTAATTAATGATATTCTGCTCCAAATATAGGTATGTGCACATTTTACAACTCTGTCCCCTCATTACTCTAATGATGCCCCTCTATATTGAGCCTTGCTGTTCTCTTCTCTACCTCTAAAGAGGTTCTAAACTAAAATCTTTTTACATTAATGTTTTTCTCCTCATGCCCATCATTAAAAAGTAGGTGCTACTTTTATTCAAGATTTTTTATTTAAGCCGGATTTAAGGGTATGTGAGAATAAATGGCTATTTATGTGTCAGTTCAAAACATCTGAAAATGAATGAAGTCCAGACTCTATTAAGGCCACTTCAACATTTTCACTTTGTGTCTTCCAGCTACTCCTGGTATATTTGCTGGTATGCTTTGAGTCATTGAACATTTAGAAACTAATGGCAAGCCATTTTCCCTCAGGGTTTTCTGCTAAAGAGCAGAAATCAGGGATCAATCAGTAAGATCATTTTTCACGGTTCTGTTTTTCTTAGTAGCTGAGCCACGCTATATGGTTTACAGGTGATTAAAAAATCTGTTTATTGTAACGACAAATTTAGAGGTACTCTAAACACACAGGTATTGCTGTCCTTTGTTGTTGCAAAGTGTTGTGGGAAAAAAAACATAATGACTCTAGCATCATATCGGCTGCTGGACAGACCAGAAAATTGGTATCGGCTAAGTAAAGATAAAAGTAATATAACATCTCCAAATGTTGGCTTTGGACTTTTTCCAGCTGAAACCTTTAGCAGATATCAGCACTTGATAATGGCTGATTTATGCCCAGAAACCAGGACATCTGTGTGTGTGTCGCAGTGAATGCCAATGTGCCTCTGCCCCTGCCGCAGACACTCTACTGCACCTCTCCAAAATTGCAGGTGACCGCAGACAGTGCCGGAGACAGGAGGCATCTGATTGGTCAAATCTACATCCGCTTTACACTATGCTGCTTTGCTGATTGCTACCTTACCAGCTTGTTTTTTTTGTATGACCGCCATTGTGGAAAATGACTCGTGAAGATTGACCAGATAGAAGAGCGAGGTACACGAGAACACTGGGACCCTTTGTTGTCACCTTGCCCTCATGTCTCTCCATTCTCGTACAAACCTGCCCGCCCTCCCTTACCTCCTCAGCCGTATCTAAACCCACAGCTAGTTCATGATTGTCCCTCTTGCGTTGTAGCGTTGAATAACATAGCACAGACCACGCTTCAATGATGGGTAAAAATCAAAGATATCTGTGACAAGCTCAATGTGACACACTGCTGCAGGAGTATAACCAGTCCTTAAATTGTTTAAGGATGCAGACTCTTGTAGGACATGGGTGGTACAAATTCAAGAGGTAATGTATATTTTGCTGTTTGAAATATATAAATATTTCCATGCAGTTTAGTAACAGGTGAGTCATGCAGCAGCCTACGCTGCAGACCGGAATGACCATGATTTAGCAACAGACTGGACAAATAAAGTCATAGTGAGTTCTCTGCAACTACATCAAAGATTTTTAATCATGTTTGTGATACAGATTGGACGCAAGTGGTTACTTGCGTCCAGTAAATGATAATTTTCACAATAGAAAAGTGATCCTATGATGGGAGATAGTTGTTAAATCTCTGCACTATTATGGAACGAAAAGAACAAAGCAAACAGGTTAAGGGACTAATAAATAGTCTGATTTAAAATCCATAAATCGTCGTATACAACCAGACACACAGTGAATATCAGCTATTAACTAACTTCTCCAATAACAAACCATGGATCAACCCTGAGATAAAGACACTTCTGAAAGAAAAGAGGAGATCGTTTAGATCAGGGAACAAGGAGGAGCTGAGGGCTGTGCAGAAAGAACTGAGGAAGAAAATCAGGGATGGGAAGAACAGCTACAAGAAGAAGATGGAGGGTCAGCTGCAGCAGAACATTAGAGGGATCTGGAAAAGCCTGAAGAAAAAAAATCAGAACACCCAGAATGTTGGAGACTTGAAGTGGGTTGAGTGAGATTTTTTCAGTCGTTGCATGCAGCTACACCTCACACTGTACGATGAAACCGCATGGTTTCTTCGTACAGTGTGAGTTCACAGCTCACAATGCATGTTCAGCCCGACGCCCTGATGCGATCTACCTGCTCACACTGTATGTCGGACTCAGCTCAGTTTTGTTTATCTGG